AAATCTGGATTCTGCTGCTATTTAAAACATCCTTTAAGAAATTTAAATTCTGTATACACATTTACTTTTTCCAACCACTGCCTGGCAGTCACCCACAGTATTTTTAAGACATGTTATGTGCCAGATTACAGGAAACTTTACAGAAACACCTGGTAGGCAGAGACATTAATTTTAAAAGAGGATATTTGGAGTGAGCCTTTGGAGTAATTTTCATACACGGGCAAACTGATCTGCAGTTAACATCCACAAAAAGTGCAGCAATGAACAGTTGCCAGTTACCTCATCAGCCCATCAGCCTAATTAGCCTTTCCTAAGCTCAGAGTTGAGGGTAACGGGCCAGTCCAGCCACTTACACTCTGCAACAAATAGGAGTGAGGTCAAATAGTTAATGAAATGAAAGTAATTATAAAGATTGTGTCACTAAAACTTGAAGGAGAGTGATATTGTTCTAGGGGGCTAAATAAGACATGCCAGGTGCTTTTTTCCAATTTCCCTTGATCGTATTCGGGTAAAAAAAACCCTCTAAAACTAATTTACTATCAAGATAATGTGCTAATAATGAAGACTTCTTTAAAGGGAGCAATAAAACCTAAGAGCTTCAGCTTTCAATTTAACAATCTCTGGTGTTAAATATTTTTCCGTCACGCAATAAAATTTTATTAAAAATTAGTCACCAAAGGAAAAAGGGCTGAAGAAAAACAGCTGTAGGAGAAGTTCTGTGGAATCTTTATGAGGCAACAGCAAAAACACGCTGAATTTAATGCAAATTCTGGAAATGAAAGGTATGAGAAAGAGTAGCCACAACCTTGTGAATCACCACTGGCATCAATACAGGACTATGGTTGCCATCTAGTTGATCACAATGAGAATAAAAGTCCATTAGCCCAAAGGCAGCTACGAAAAGCAGAACAGGAGAGACTTACATGAATAAATAAGTCATGCTAGTCAGGCTTCTGCAGTTAAATTACCTTTTATCTATTTAAAAACAAACTTCTTACTACATTAGCCTTACAGATACTCATAGTACCTCAGATTTCTATGAGATTTCTGCCTTAGGAGACACACATTCCTTACTCTTTGGAATTAAATCCTAAAACAATGGATAATGTCATTTTTCAATACCATTTTATTCTCCTAATGTTTTTATGCATTAAGAAAGGGTTATATGATTGCATGTCATTATTGCATAGTACAAACTGCGGCTGACTCTACACTTAGTAATTGCTTTTTTCCTTTTTTTAAATTACAGTTTTCCAATCCCCCCGTTGAACACCGTGATCTACAGGTTACTGAAACTGCAGGTCTTGGTGATACCTCATTAACTCTGGCAGAAGCAAAGTTGGAGGAGACAAAAGTCAAAAAGTGTTGAGGCACCAGAGGCTGAATCCTAAGGCTTTAATGGAGCACAAATCTGTCCACTGCCCTCAATGCTCCTGCTGATTACTTACAGCTGACCACGGATAAAATCATAGGATAATTAAGATTAGAAAAGACCTCTGTGCCCCCAAGCACCACACCTACATGATTTTTTTATTATATATATAAATATATATATAATATTTTATATATATATTATAAATAGATATATAACATTTTATATATATATTATTTATAAATAGATATATAACACTTTATATATATAATATGTAAATATATATGTATATAATGTTTATATAGATATATAAAATATTTTTTGCCCTTTAGGTGCACCCTCTGCTTCCTCTGATAAAGTTATGAGGTTACATGATATATTTCCCCCCAACTGTGAGCATACAGTTATTTCCAAATAACAACCCTAATTATATTTGTGGATTTTCATAGATTCTTGAGCAAGAATTTGCTTTGGGTAGCCTAGTCAGTGTTATGATTTCCATCCATTAACAACACTCTTTAAGTATCCAGGTCCTTAGGCACTCATCTGGAGAATAAAAAGGAAAGCAGAGTTTCATTCCTCCTCTGTTTTCACTTTTCTCTTTCATCAGCACCTCTGTAATGGGAATGGGACAAAAAAACTGACAAGAGACAGATCCAATTCTCAACCAGTTTGAAAAAATTTTCCAATGGCTGAACATAAAATGGTTATTGGTGTGACATTACAGTGCAAAAGAAACTATATAACAAAAAAAATTGTCAATAATCCAGAAAGTTAAAACCCTCATAGTTCAGGATTAATGATCAGCCTCCTGGTTATGCTTGTTTTTACTTTTTAGTGTCATTGAACTTGTATTCACAGAGCCCTAAATCCCTTTGTCAATACTTTTGGCACCAGTACTGTGTTATACATGTCAGGGACATGACAGCTAAAATGGCTTTGAACTGAAATACTGGTGGTAAACTCTGTATTATAAGTTCCTGTACATTGCAATTATTTAAGACACATCAAAAAACACACCTCAGTCTTCTACTGCTTTGAGGGAACTTATTCTAAGATTTAAATGTAAGAATTTCCCATTACTACCCAGTTTTCCAAATTAGTGAGCTATCCAGAACAACCACCTTTTTTTTTTTCACTGATCCAGGCACTTCTATGCACTGGTTTTTTAAGCCTGATTTATGCTTTTTCATACCCCTATTTTCTCTAGAAAAAAACAAAATGTGTATTTTCAACAAATCTGGCAATTTGCTTTCCTAGTTACCTTTTCTACACCATGTTCTTGTGCTAAATATCTCTAATGAGCACACAGGTATTACGGTGACCAATTATGAATAAAAATATACAACCTACTCATTTGGAATTTTTTTTCTTTTTAATCAGGAAACACCCAGGGATGATTGTCCCCAAGTGATACAGCTGTCATACTGTATGATTTACCCTTACACAGATTTAAAATAAGTCTGACACTTTAGACAGCAATTTTTAGGCTGGATGAGAATATCTTAGAAATGAGATGCTTACCAGACAAATTATCATTTGTCCTCTGAAGCTGAAACTGCTGCTTATCAGGCATGACAAAATGTGTAAGTGCTGCTCCCACTTTTGCATATGATAACATGTTAAACTAACCACACAGATTTATGCTGCCCTAAAAATACTAGCCTGCTACATCAAAATATTTATGGAAATCTAATAATAATAATAAAACAGAGAGCCATACATCTGTAGTTAGAGTTAACTGGTTCGTCAAAGGAAGAAAAAGCCAAGGAGAAGATACCTAAGAATGGGTATGATAATAAAAAAAACCACCTTCTATTATACTGCTGAAGTACAGAGGGTGTAATTCGGGCCTGACTGTGATTCTTTGACAACTTGTTTCACAGCAGCCGATTTCAGCAGTTTTATAATCACAGATTTATAATAATGAGATGTCAACGTGTGCAAGAAGAGGATTGCAGACCATTATTTTCTTAGCCATTTCCATGCCATATGCCAAGTACAGAGGAATGTGAGAAATGCCTATTAAAGAAGCAATATAACTTATTCAAGCACTTCTGGGGGCAGAGGACTAAATGCTGGACTCTTGAAAGGCTGCAGCACAGAAACACTGATACATTTTACCAAGTACAATAAACACAAAACCTATACAATCATTTAAAAAAAAAGAAGAAGGAAAACTACTCTGTATTGCAGTCAAATATCAAAAATTTAACTCTAATCTCTGTGCTGTGCTCCCATGTCCTTCATTCAGTGACAGTGCTACATGTAAAGCCAAGGAGACTTCAAATTCTCCCAAGGCTCTGACCCTAAATCGATCCTAAACAGACATAAGGGCTTGCTTGTGTCTTATGTCTTGCCCTTATCCTTCAGTCCTTCCCTGCTCTCATGACAGGGGCAAAAGCACTTCCAACCTGAAGAAGAGCCACATTAATCAGGAAAAATATTCTCCTAGAGATCCCAGAGTTCTGCTCAGCCTGTGTGACCTACAAAAGAAGAGTTTGCTGCCCTGCAGAACATACACCCAATGATCTTAACCTGAATGAACACCAACATACCCATGTGCTGCTCCTGGTTAATGCAGTGCTTTGTTTCCAGAGGTAATAATTTTGGGGAATGAAGGTTTCTTCCTATAAAACAGCTATTAAGGAACTGACAATTGTTATTGTAAGAGTAGCAACGTGGGATCCGGTTCTGTGATTACATTCTGCTTTCTGAAGTTGTGTTTCAATTTTAATTACAAAGATTATTAATTTCTGGCTTCTGGCTCTGCACTAACAGTGAAAACCAACAGCTGACATATACAAATTACTAATTGGCTATGGGTTAGCAATTAGTATTTATATTTCATTTTTGGAATTTAAAGAGGACTTTGAAGTGTCCTTCAGTCATTCTTCTGTAAAATTTCCTTTTAACTGAAATCACAGATTTCTTCTCATATCTAGAATTCCTCTACTGAACCAGTTGAATACAGGAGCAAAATTCAACCCTGGAGATGAAATTATTAGGATAGTTGTTAATCGCTGTAAATCTTAACTGTATTAAAATATTTGAATTTATTGAATCAAAACACTTTTTTCCCCTCATACTTCCTCCTAAACTGCCCTTCTCATCTCGGAATATAAGAATATTCCCTACACCCTGTTAACAAGTTCACAGATTCCTTCTGACAAATTTGATTTGGTGTCCCAGATTATTTTATGCTTTTTATATCAAATTTTTCCACTGAAAAAAAAGCATGATAAGCAAAAACCATCTTACTCTTTAGAGCTGTATTACCACAAATTCACTCTCAGTGCCTGACAGGTAAATGATCCTATGAATTAGCATCCTCACTTATTTTAAATGCAAATCCATCTTCCTTGCATGTTTGCTCTGCAGACATGATCCATTCACCAAATGACAGAAGGAATTTTGTTCCTCAGCAGGAAAGCAGCTGCTTCCCAACATTAAAAAAAAAAGTTTATTGACATCAGAGACGGGCTTAGAATTATCCTCAAAATTCATCCTAATCTTTCAATTAATTTTAAATCCTCCTTAGTTCCAGTTTGATGCTCTTACAGGACAAACTTTAAAAGATGTTTTAAAAAAAAAACAAACACAACCACATCCGAGAGAGAAACTGTACCTTGGTGTTTGTCACTTGAAATGGAGCTCTGGAGCCCTTTGTAACTGGGGAATTCTGCTTCTCAGTTGGCTGTGAAGGGATTAGATTTATAGGAAGGGGCTGATTGTGCAGAACAGAAGACAGGCAGAGCTGCACAGTGTCCTTCAGAGCTTTCAGCTGGGACTCCTGTGGAAAACAAGAAATCATCACTTCTCTAAAGATGTGTTCTGAGGAACAGAATTTCTTACTTTCTCTCTCTGCATTAAACAAAACACTTACGAGCAGCAACTGTTTTTTTCTTACTAATGGACAGAATTAAGGCTGTTTAAGGTATTTTTATACAATCAGGTTCCTGTGCATTTCACACTAAACTGCACTCTCTTCCCTTTCCTCCATGTAGTTTTATCCATGTTGATGATTGCAAATAATAAGTAAATATATTTTTTTCTGAAAAGAAAATCTACAAAATATCATATATTTATGTATATATATATATATGTATACACACAGACTTTTATGTATAATAGCCACAGAGATGTATTGCAAAGACACAGACTTTGCATGGAGTTTTGATTTACAGCATTCCAAATAATTGTATTTGGATAAAGATGAAGGTTCTAAAGATGAATTTTAATCCAACAAAGATGATTTCCAACAGAGATGACTTCCCTCATGAGCATATAACACTTTTGCAGTGTATAGTAAGGAAACCACAGGTCTTTTGGACAGTTAAGAGTATGTTTGTCCAGGTCCACTGCTGTCCATCAGGCCAAACTAAACCTTCTAAGTGGTGAAGAGCTTGCAATTCATGTTAGAACGCTGCTATTTTATTAACAGAAATATAGACAGATGTATTAATGAAAAAAGAAGTCTATAATTGAAATAAGCTGAGACAGTAAGAACAGTGAGATAACGACAGCACTGAGGAAATCTTATTTTTAAATCTTTGCTCCATGAGAGCAAGACACATGTCAAATGTTAGCTATTGAGGAATTTCCTGACACTCATTTCAAGGGGAGTTAGCAGCATCTGGCCTAAAAAGAAAACACCCTAGTTTTTATTCTTTTTATTAAGAATGCACCTATAAACATGGGCAACATCAGCACATTTCAATCATCAAAGATTTTTTGAAAGATACATAAATCAAGGTATGTCAAGGCAGAAGCTGCTAGAAAATACATGTGTAAGTAACATTACAGATATTAATTACTACATATTAAGTATGAGAAATATTGCATACACAATACAAAAGTATTTCACATTTATCCTAAGCAATGGCATACACAATGTTGCTTTAGTTTATTTGCTAACTTTATTTTTGAGACCATGACAAATATTCCCCTGAACTGGAATCAATTGTATCCCATAACTGGGAAAAATAATACAGAGTGTTTCTAAAAAAAAATAAACAATGCCTGTCAGTATATTTCACTGGTAGGATCAAAGACAACCATAAAAAGACTATTAATGCACGGCACAATATGGAAAATCAAAGAAATAGGAGATGGAATGTGTCGTGCTGGAGCGTAAATAAACTTGGAGAGACACTAAATCCACTGTCAGCACAAACTTAAATTCAATAAATATTTAAATCCATTAAAAATCAGTGCAAAAAAATATTTTTGGGCTGTTTCTTTCTAATTTTACCGCCCTCCTATTAAACAACTTCACAGTTGTACTCAACTTCACGCTTAACTGACTTCAGCAGCATCACTCCCAAGCACCTGTATTTAAGCATTCATCTAAATCACTGCCAGGCTTGCATTTGTTTTTGTCAAATTACACCAAAACATTCACAGCTGATAAACATGCTTACATTCCATTACACTTCTTACTTTGTCAAGGGCTGCTTTTTCCAATTCATCTTTTGCAACTGCTAGCTTTTGCTCCAGATCTGTTAGCTGCTGTGCCTGTGGCAATAAAGGCAAAGAAAAAAAGATGATGTAATCTTCAGTGTATTTTTCCCTGTAATTTTTCATGTGAGAGAGGAAAGGATATAAATTTTTCTAGTAATATACATTAATTGGGTCAGAACTCCTTGCAAAAAGACCAGGCCTTAAGGGATATTTTTTTTCCCTGAAAAAGAAAAGTATGTGGGAACTGTGCTCAAATGCGAATGCAAGTTTATAATAATGTCAATGTCAACAGCAAAATTAGTTCTGCATTATAAAAAAATTTAGTGTTATGCTATAATATCCTTCTGGAAAATTCAAGGTATTGAAACAGCTTTTTATAAGTTTGTTCATTTACCTGACTTCTGAGAACAATTTGCAACACTATTTTGTGGTTTTAAGCATCGAGATACTCACATTAAACTAACTTGGCATAAAGAGAGAAATTAGAGAATCAGAAAACACCCCAACATTCATGCTTGTAGGGAAATACACTCTCTGCAAGAACTTTCCATTTCAGGGAAGCTCCCAGATTCCTGCAGTTTTCAGCCCTGTCATTAATAGCACTACTATGCATCCAAAAGGAGCAAGGTACAGGTTCCTTTCACTGTTGTACTTGCAAAATAACATTGTTTTCCCTGTTCAAAAAGGGAACCACAGAGAAGGACACTGGACTAACTAGCTACCTTTTTGTCTTTGAAATTCTAAGTAAAGGAACATTTTGTACATGCAGAGTAACTGGGAAAAGCTCTCATTTCTCAGATAAAGAGCAACACATTCTCTTTTAGAGCCAATATTTGCAAGCACACTTCCCCCTCAGCACCACCCCACACTCACCAGATTTCTGGAGTTCATCCCCAGCCAGATACTGTTTTCTTGACAGACTTTTCAAGACCTCCTGCACTCTGCTGACTGCAGTGTAGCTTAATGTACAGGTGACTATAGCAGAGCTCAACGTGTAGCCTCACAACATAAATGATATATAAACCCTATAAAAGTGTTTAACATGGTCATAGACAACGTTTGAAAGGTTGAACTTAAGCCTGGGTCTATGTGATGCAGAGACACTTCTCATTAGATATTAGAATTCGACATGAAACTGCTTCCATGTCAAAAAGCAAGTTGGAGAAAAAGTACTTAATTTCTTTAATTGATGGTTTCCCTGATAAAGGATTACTACATTGCAGTAACACTGCTCACATCAGAAAAAAAACATTTCTGGTTTATGGTGAAAAGTTATTCTTCCAAAGGATGGGCTCATATGTGTTAGTGAAGTCTTCCTGAATGCATCATTTATCAAGACTTATCCTTATTTTTCATAATCCTGTCGTATTTTGATGGACTAACATTTGCTGTTAACTTTCATGTATATTTATTTTATTTCACAGAATACTGAGCAAAGAGGTCACTGACATCAATCCAAATGACATTAAGTGAGAATAAAATTCTGGCATTAAGAATGCATTTCGGTGAACTTGAAAGTAGTAATGTTTATTTACATCTTGGTTCCAAGACTGCTGAAAAATCACTTTTTTTCTGAAAACTTTTGTCTATCAAGGCTAAATTCATATTGCAATAGTTCCACTGCCACTGGAAGTTTTTTAGGGAGCCTAATTCAACTAACATGCCTTGGGTACTGAATAAAGACAAAATACCAGCAGGACTACACAAGCCCAATTCTGAGAAGCTGCAAAGAGCCTTTAAAAAGACCAGCCTGGAAAAACTAAAAGGTAGGTATTCCTGCAGAATGAGGTCTTAGAGAGGAAACAGTCCTATTCTTTTTTCTCCCATCTTTGGGCAGTTTGGAATTTTTCAATCCTGCACATGATGAAGTTTTTTTCAATGCTACTGGGCACAGTCAAAAGCATTATTATAATGAAACAATTTGGAAAATGCCAGTCAAAGTGCCAATCAATTACAATTTGATATCAATAGTAAATCTCATTTTAGGGGGAGCTGGACCAGGTCTGTAAGTTGATTGAATAACTGTGTGCTGCCAGTTAAACGTGGAGCTGCTGCTGCTGCACTTAAGTAACCTTGTCTCATGGTGGCTTTTAATTAGCCTTGTCTCAACTCAGAAACCCAGACTAGCTATTTAAGACTGCATAACCATATCCTTAAGGCCACATCCTCAGAGTCACATATAAATTTTTAAATGGTATTTTTCAGTTCATTAAAAAAGTCACAGTTCTTCACGCTCAAAGAAAGAAATCTGGCAATAAACTAGTGGACCTGAATTACTAAGTAGTGAAATGGTGTTCTCATTTTACATATATGTGATTTCCAGAACTGCAAGAAACCTTTTAAAAAAGAGACTTTTTTCAGTGAGGATGCATAATTCGATGTCCTTACTGAGAAATATATATGATAACAAGGCTAAGTAGTGTTTTTCCTGAGTCAAGGACTTTTTTTGTTGCCGTGGTCTGCCCGTGAGGAGGTGCACAAGAAAGCTGGGAGGGAGCACAGCCAGGAGAGGAGACCTGAAGTGGCCAAAGGGATATTCCAGAGAACATCATGCCTGGTATATAAACCAAGGGAGTCACCTGGAAGGAGAGTCTAGGATTGTTCAGTGGGTGGTGTTGTGCATCTGTTGTTTTTCCTTGCTTGTTTTTTTTCCCTTGTTTGTTTTTTTTTCCCTTCTGTTACCATCATTATTATGTACTATTATTATTATATTTTACTTTTGTTTTGTTTATTAAACTGTTTTTACCTCAACCTACACGTGGGCAGCTACCTGGTGCTTAGTTGCAGCTGGGCTTAAACCACAACTTCCTGAGCAAAGCACACATAACCCAGACAAAACTTTCTACCTACATTTTAGTCAAGGCTGTGAAAATATACTACACCACTAATCAGGGAAAAAAATAATTGCCTACTACAAAAGAAACCAAATGAAAAAAAATAAGCCTCGTGCTTCGGGAAAACAGGTAATACTCAGTATACAGTGACAAAAGACCATGTAACAAAAGACCATGAAATGTTGGTTATCCTAACTGTGTTGTCTCAAGATAGCTATCTGAAAAGTAATCATGCCATATCTTACCAATCAAACACCAACTACAGAAGTTTATGCAACAGCCCTAATATATTTTATAAAAATCAACGAAGAAAATTTCAATTTCCTGTCTCTCCCAGGGGCTTCATCTTCTGCTGAGAAAAACAATTCAATAATATCCTGTCTTAGAGCATTCTTCCACATCCAATAAGCAGCCTGATCTAATCACAAATAATTGATAAAGTGAAAACCAAAATCATACAGGCAGTGATAAAATTGCACAAACATATTGACTTGATCAAGGGAAAAAAGTCCCAAAGTGAATAATCAACCAAAGAATTATTTAATAAAAAGCATCATAAGCCTTCTCCCTTGGAATGGGAAAAAAAAAAAAGTAGCAGTTTCTAAGGTTGAACTGCAACATTGAAGAAGATCTCGTTATACCACAAAGTAGAAATACCTTAAAGATCCAACAATCTGTATCAGAGACTAGAAAATCTCTATCCTTGGAGGTCAGAAAGAAAATCTGTTCTCTCTCATGACACATTAAGTTACAAAACTCTGCACACCCAAGGCCATGATCAGGCAAAAGACCCAACCTGGCCCAAAGTTCATATCCAATCCTATAATTCTCAAAAGACCAAAAACCGAATTCTGTAAAATTATCACATTGTTAAAATCCACAAGTAAACAGAATAATCTTCATAAAACAACCTCAAACATGAATAAAATCTACACTCTACTTCCTTTTCCTCAGCCATCCATGCATGGATGAACTGAACAGGGAACTAAACATATACTGATAAAACATTCTAGTGACATCAAACCAGAACTCTGTGTGCCATAGAAAATGGGGTTTATCTAAATTTACCCTGACAAGGCGGGAAAAACAGGATGACAGTCACTAAAACCAAGTATAAGATGCTAAATACAAACAATAATGATCAGTAAAACTAATACAGAATATAGAACAATAGGGACGAATGACCCAAGATGGTATTACCACTGAATATGTTATATTTTTGTAGAAAAGGCAAAAACCACTGTGGGTACAGACCAAAAAAATCCATTTTACTCTACTCAGCATGAGTGAAATGTCCAGCTCGAATTCAGTGTCCATTTTAGGACACTGCAAAGAGACCAAAGGAAACAGGTTCAGGTGTGATTGACGTGAAGCATTAATGGTGAGGAAATGTGCAGAGAAGGAAGACTGGGGAAAAAAAAAATCTATATAAGTTAATTTAAAAAAAAATACGATAAGACATAGGATAACTACAGCAAAATAGGCGAAATATTGCTTTAATTTTAAAAAACCCCTACTCTCCTGGTCTGTGAGAGACAGCATGATAACTACCCAGCTTCCATTGCAGTATTTTTCAAGACATATAAGAAAACATTTTCTACTACTAAGGCTGACAGGCTAGAAGAGACCAAAGCAGCAGAAATACGTAGAATTTGGACTGCTGCAGGTTTCTATAAAAAAAGCCCCATTAGATAAGCCTTGGGAAAGAATAACATGGATATAACAGAACCCTGTCAGGAGTCAGGGAATACGGGACATCCTTTCTATTTTCTGTAGCCTCCGAAGAAAAAGGTCTTTTGCCACAAGTGAACCAGTGCAGATGGGACTGCCATGTACATACAGAACTTCTGATCTCGGTAAATACAAAGTAATTTGTCTTATTTATGTGTTTAAAAGGAAAAGTCTGTCGAGAATATTTTCAGACTCCTCATTTCATCATCTATCAGAGTCTGCTTTTGTTGTGGGCACTTTTCATTTAATCTTCATCCTTTGCAGGAAAACACAATCCAAAGACAAACAACCTCTTTTTGCTGATATAATCAACTAACAATATATAAGCCATGGGAGACCAATTATGTTAAATTTATCAAACAGAAAACACCATAAAATAAATAAAGATAGAGCTAAACAGAGGTTCAGCTTGCTACTTTCCACTCAGTCATCATTTCTGACAAAGTCATGGGAAATTTTTTGACAGCATTTTCTTACCTGAAGTCTTTG